GCTTACCCTGGTTTCTATAGCATGAAGCGACTAGGAGTACTTCTACTGCACCTTAGAAGGGAGATGATCTGCTGGTCCATTGGGGCGAAAGAGGAAGGGAAAAAAAATCGATAGAGGGGTAGAGTGGGAAATGTTTTCCATACAGGAATCCCTCTCCACGTCTTCTCCCCTCCGCCTTCGTAAGACGTACCCAGTGTTTATGACTTGAGTTAACGCAAGACGTTTCGCATCACCCGTTCAACCCCTAAGCGAAGTTAACTTGATGAGCAGGAAGCAGCATCCGGGGTAATGGGACATGGGACGTACTATGGGAACAGTCAGAAAACGAAAAACTAAAGGCCTGTTTACATGGAAGCGGGGGACCCGGACAGGTGAGGTACCTCATCTACCCGCGGTAAAGAAATACTTGTCTTCACATGCAACCCCGGGAACGCAAAGTGAGGTCCAAAATGCAATCGCACGGTCGCATGTAAGATATTTCGGTGACAGTTCAACACGATTGGGAGTCCCTACCCTGACTTTCGGCGGTTTTCGGTTTGACCTCTTCGCAGATTTGTTCTGAGGTACGTTCATTCGTTCCGATGAAGCTGCCTTTCGCTTCAAGGTCGTCGTTGCAGGCAAAACTTCAGTTTGATTCCGCTGACTTTTTATTTAGTTATTAAATTAATAAATTAGCCTACTAGCCCGACTACCCGATTCCGCGCTTAAATTGTCGCCAGCGCTGTCAATTTCATCAGCGTTTTAGCGGTGAAATCGTCAAGGCAGCCATGTTGTTCTGCCGTGTGTTTTGGCGGGCTTTGGCGCAGTGATTTGAATACCCCCGTTAGGTGGGTTACCCCACTCCGCAGCTTTCACATGGAGAAAACTCACCCCACCGAAGCGGGTTACCTGGACCGGGTGACCGGGTAACTCGCCTTGGTGGGGTACCCCACCTCACATGTGAACGCGATCAAGAAAAAAAGAGAGATTGTATGGATAGATTGGTTACCCAACCAAGGCGGGGGAACTCAGCTGCCCGAGGTCCCCCAATTCCATGTGAACAGGCCCTTACAAAGAAACAGCCACCACTGTACAAAGGACACGGTACAACCAGACTTTGAATGTTTACTTTTATTAAATTAGACCAATTTCATCAAAACTGATTTTACAGATAAAGTTTAAAGATTGCCAAACCTGGATAACGTGGCCCTACCTTTCCACAAATTTGAACAAACATGGTTGGAAAGTTCTGCCAATGGAAAGATAAGTGCACCCAAACTAATCAGCAATGATTGAACCCTACCTTGCGAAGTGCACGTCAATATGACAAGTCATTGCTTTAGAAAAAAAATGATCTAATCAGCTACGAATAGTGGATGTTTAAGTACGTAGTGATTAGTGGTCACTTAAAAACCATATTTCTTCCCAAACGTTTAACGGTTGATGCTTTTACAGAGCGGGGAGGGGGTGAGGTGGGATATTTCTCCACTTCTTATATCAAGAGATGGTCTGGCAAAAGCACTGAATTAATTAACGCTCTGAATGAAGGGCTTATGGGAGTTTTGAAGCTTTCAAGTGACCACTGGCACTTACAGCAAGAAGATAACTACACTCAGATAAGTACAAATAACGCAGGATTACCAGGATACGGGTCTAAGAGGTTTCATGATGTCCTCTAAGTTTTCCCACTGTTCAAAGTTTGACTTTAGTATCACCATACATTAATACTTGTCATTTGTATTTCATGCTCGCCAAAATAACGTACTACAAGACTTGGAAAAATATAAAGCAGTACCTACATGCAGTAATATCTAATACAATGTACAATAACGATCAATATCGTGTTGAAAGTAAAAGAACTGCCATTTAGACCAAAAGTTTGCAAAAATTACAATTTACATGTAAAGCATTTGACTTTAAAATATTTATTCATAATACCCATTGAAAAAAATTACATCACAACTGACCTACCTTACTAGGTTCTTCCACAAATTTAATAATTAATGCAAATTTTTGGGACCACTTCAAGCCCTATTGCTTACAAGTAAATGTATATTGTTGCGATGAGTAGTTACTCAAGCGATGGATGATAACATGTTATTACTACATGTATTCTACATTATGGAGAACTCAGCAATGTCGATCCTAGCAGGCTGATTGTGTATCAAATTGCAACAACTTCCAACTGAGCTTCCCGGGTAAGAAATAGTGCGAACTACATATCCTTTCATAATAATTGTTGCACATCCTCGTTGGCATAGCCTGAAGCAAACATAAGAGAGTTTGGGAGAACTCAGAAGTATATGCAAGGCCAACGTGGACACATTTGAATTATCCCAAAAACACTTGAGAATCGGGCTATGCAATAACAAAGCCGCAGTTATCTATTCCATAAATAAAATTAACCAACAAAGACAAGTTAATTTTACAACTACTATGTTTATTGTACATGACCTAAGTCAAACCTGCTAGCGATCTATTTACGTTGTATTTACAGAGGATACACCAGGTGCAGCATTTCCATTTTTCTTGGATGGCTTAACAAGTTTGAAAAAAGAATTATTGAATGTAGCAAAACTAAGGCACACAAGAAGAACCACTTAGTTTAAAAAATTACTGTATGTATGTGACATATACTAGCGAAAATATCCAAATCATGTAATATGGTAATAATTTGGCACTTGATATACACAGTCACTCTTCTATAATTTCAATAAATCAGTTCACACCTACCTTTTTCTAAAGAGTATAGAGTTACACAAAGAAAATCTACAATGAACGTTTGACTTAGTTTGACACACTACCTTTTATCATGCTGTTCCTTAAGTTAAACAGCTTCTCATACAGACATTCATTTGACCTGTCACAAAGACTCTTTCCTCCTGGGAAGGACGTACAGACAGGACAAGTCAAAAGAACATCTAACAAGGAATCTAAGTAGTTGAGGAAATAAAAACTTATTTATCAAGAATTTAACAGGAATGCCAGATGAAAGACCAGGAGAGAAAGCACTTAAGACTCTCCTGCACTGTAACGGATGGCCATACATCTTTCCTCATCAATTTCAGTTCTCAAAACATGGCAGTCTACCAATGCCATATGCCCTACTTAATGATTTAGTTTATTCTTGTCACCTTCCAGCTAGACAATTATTTACGTCAACAATGTTACGAAAGGCTAGACGTTGATCAGTTGAGGACTTAAAGGCAAAAATGGACTCACCTTATGTCAGCTCAAAATGTTAACATGGCACATGCACATACAGCAATGTGAATACCTGTTGTGAACTTATGTCTAAATATGAAAAGACTTATTTGATAACTTAAAGAAATTCAAAAGCTTTAAACTAGCACACTGTAGATGTACATACATGACAGAAGACAAACAAAAGGGTAGAACTTCTTCATGCTTGTAGCTAGTCAAAAAGGATAAACTACTTTACAAGGTAAAATCATCTGGCATTTCTGTAACAACTAATCAAATAAATTTTACAACTCTCTAAAACCTTCTAGGTGCACCCATAGGTAATCTCATAGGTGGCCTACCGCCTGGGTGTGGCCCAAGGAGTCCCATCCCCCCTCTTGGAGGGGGTCCACGAGGAGGCCCTCCACCAGGGCCTTGTGGTAGTGGTCCCATGAGCGATGGTGGCCCTTGAAAGTTGCCAAGTGGTCTTGGAGGCATCCCTGGAGGAATCCCTTGTTGATGTGGTGGTGGTCCTGGCATATTGGGTGGAAATCCAGGAGGTCGCATTCCAGGAGGCATTGGACCACCAGGAATGGGACCTCCAGGTCCTCCATGCATTGGTCCGCCCTGCATTGGTCCTCCCTGTATTGGCCCTCCTTGCATTGGCCCTGTGGGTGCTGATGACATAGCTACTGGAGGTTGTTGCATGTTAGGCATCAAGGGCATGGGCCCCATGGGGGGATGGCTTCCAGGAGCCTGCATCTGCAGAGGAGGAGCACTTCCCATGGTGGGTGGGTTTGATGAAGGCATGCTAGGTGTCTTTGGAGCATATTTAGAAAGTGATGCTCGTCGCTCTTCCTGAAAAATAAAGTATTGAAGTGTTTTAGCATCTTGAAGACAGCTCTAAACGTAGCTTGGAACACCAGATGTACAGAGTAAGCTCAACAGCAAATGTTTGGACTTCCAAGGAAACAAATGAGTTTATACCAGTGAGATGTCTTCATCAGGATGAATCAAACGGCTGGTTGCTCCTGGTGCAACAATGGTGGCAGGCTTAGAAACAACAGGAGCTGATGTTGGAGGTGGAACAACTGGTTTACCTACAAAATGAAAACAACCACACAAAATATTGTGGGTCAGTCTAAATCAGGTATGAGAATGTCAGGCTATGGGGACACTTCAGTGCAGAAGGGTTTTATTTATTAAATGTGTGATAACCAGTACAATAATCACCACCATGAATCAAAATAGAAAACTAGAACCTGCTAGGACAATAACATTACTTCTCAAACTCACTAATAATTCATTAGGTTTGAACGAAGGAAATCATGACCATGGCGGTGTTTGGATATCTGTTCTTAATTAGCATAGATTTTTGCAATTTTAATTCTCCATTTTCTCCTTGGTTTTAGTTTCTATTAAGAAGATATATCAAACACTCAAGACAATGTTTGACCACATTTCAAAACACTTTGAGGTTCATCAAAAATACTCCACTGGTCATTGTACATGTACTTTCAACTCTCTTATCGGTGTTTGGAAATGTGGTCAAACATGGTCTTTTGTGTTTGATATATTACAAGAAGTCATTGAATGGGCTGGGAATGACTTTGGCATTCATGTGACTTATTCACTGGGTAGTTACCTGTAGAAGTGACTGGTGGGCTTTGATAACTAGTGGCTGTTGCAGTTGTTTGTAGTGGTTTAAAGTCTGCACCCACAGGGCCTGATGAAGCACTGGATTTAGCAGTGCCATTTACATTCTGGACAGAGTAAACAGGAAAACAATGTTCTTTAAACATAACATGGTAAATATTTAACAGCTATGCTTAAAAATCTGCTACATACTGGAAAGTCAATAAAGTGAGAATGTAGTAATATCATCCTCAATAAGCAATCTACCTATAGCTTAAATACACAAGCAGCTAGTTGGTTTGAACACATGACTTTAAATAACAAGGCTTACATCCCCAGAAGTGACTTTGCATCATATTGCTACTATTCTGTTTCCTTGGTATAATGTCTTTGAGGCAGGCAGGTCATAGATTGTAGAAATGAAGGGTGACCCCTCCCCCCTTTCCTCCCAACAAAAAAAAATCCCTTTACCACATACATGTAAAAAGGCAAGACCTTATCATTCTTACAGATACGAATATCCTAAGACTTGGTTTGTGAAAGTAGAGTATACTACAAGCTTTGTACATGTACTTACTGTTAGTGGGAAAAAAGCAGACAATCCCTGAACTAAGAAAAAGAAGCTTACCTGTGCTGCAGGGAAGAGGGGTTTGGTGTTGGGTACCTGAGGCCCTATAACAGGACCTTTTTGTAGTTGAGCAGTGGTTGTGGCTGTGCTTGATGATGGCATGGTACTTGGAGGCATTCCAGGATGTGGGTATGGCATGCTGAAAGAACATCCAGCAATTCATCAATCCTTTTCGTTTTTGTCCTTATTAAATGCAATACACCTCTTTTAAATGTTATGTGTAGGTCTTAAAATTTGGTGGTACATTGAGACAATAAATATTTACATGTATCTCTCAGAGCAGTTGACAATAATATTTTTGTAACACTCATCCTGTTTGCATGACAGTGTGAGGAACCACATGTAAGTGACGGTAAAGGGTTGAAAGTGGATAGTCTTCAATGATCATGTCTCATTTTGTCTCCAGTTAGCTGGTTTTCAGGCATACTAGTTGAACAGGCAAAGTATATATTTTGTTGCCAAATCTAATCATATCATGTTCACCACTGTAGTTGAACAGTTAACAGGAGATTTAGATGAATGGATAATACATGAGCTTCAAAAATGCACAAAGAGACATTGTCACAAGAACAGATAGATCAAAGAAGCTGACATACCCTGGGCCTGGCATTTGCATGGGAACAGGAATCTGACCTGGAAATCCCATAGGTGGCATGTGTGGTGCACCTGCAAAGCAAAACAATTTATAGTTTCTGAGAAGACAACTACAGTGAAGCACATTTATCAGTCCATTGAATAGACACCACAGGTTCAAAGACAACTGTTATCTTGTTCACATTGTATTGCATGTGCACGTTTCTTCAGATGCCAATTTGAAATCATTACATTTGTGTCTTCCCTGGTGGATGATTTCTCACAAAAAATAATGCAGCCTTGTTGGGAAAATATTTTACCTGGAATTGGTTGGAATGGAACTTGAGGGAAACCTGGAGGAACAGGCATTCCTGGCACAGGCATCATATGCACCATAGGTACAGCACCGGGAATAGCTGCTGTCACCGCCGTGGCTTGGGCCTGACCCTCACTCTTGACCTTTTTCTTTTCTGGTTCATCATCTATGCCAATAAAATAACAAAATTGACCACACATAAATGTATGACATAGATTAAAGTATCTCTTGAAAACTTTTAATTCAAACAATAAGCTCTCAGGGTCTTGCACAATAATATCAAAATAACATGAATGTTAAAGAGGCATTGTTTGCAAAGGTTTTTCACGACATCAAAGTTGATAAACACTGCAACTGCACAATCAGTAAACGATAGCATAAAGTGCAGCTGTTTTAATAGCAGATTACACTTCATTACTATAAGTGACTCAACACTTCTGAAGTGCACCTTATCAATGTCGAACATGTTAACATTTCAGACATCTCTGTTAAGCCTTGGCCAAACAGAAGCAGTAGGTGACCTCATTCGCAGTCACACACCTTCATTTAATAAGATCTCTTATGAACTCTTAGTGAATCTCATGAACCCTCTGTGAACTAATATTTTCTCGTATTTTTTTCTTCATAGTTGTCTAGAGTTTACTCTTGTTTGCCTGACACTTAAAAACTCTTGTGCAAGTCTCATCTGTCACCTCTTGGTGAAGGTTTTGAAAAGCATTTTTCAATACAAGTCATAAGTGGGATATTCCATGGTATGCCACGAGAGAGCATTGTACAATTACTTTATACCATGCTATAGAAAATACAGCCAATCAGAAAACAGGAAAACCAAACTGTGTATTTGAAGTTATTACATCCAACCTTCCTATCATGTGCCGCATGTATCTCACATTAATTTTGTTGGCCACTGTATTTTCTATGGCATGGTATACAACATTTATGCAATGCTCTCCTGTGGTTTACCATGGAATATCCCACTTGTCATTTGTATTATCGCTTGGTAATACACACTCACCTAAAGGCTTGTGAGTAAACTGAGAAGACTCAAGTGACTCTTAGGATATTCAATGGTATACTACTCAAAAGCATTGCATAACTAGGATATATCCTAGCACATTTCGATAGTTCAGACAACCACTCACCATCGCCTGTATTATTACCCCTCTGTTGACGTTCTTTCATGTCTTTTTCAGGAATACCTTCCATGCCATAGATCTCTATTTCTGGGTCTCCCCTGTTCGGCACAGAGTTTGGAATGGTGCTTATGGTTTCCTTGTGTACTTGCATACAGTGAATGGCCAGCCCTGGGCCTGTGTATAACTTCTTGTGGCATATTGGACACTTGAAGTGCTTAGCCTTTTGATGCTGGATCAATATTTTCTCCTCATCAAAGTCACGGTTACAATACCTTCAATGTGGTTAAGGACTACACTGACCATAGCTGAAACTCTCCCAAGCATTGAAATGCTCATCATAATCAGTACTATGGTGAGAAACTGCTGGCACCATGTTTAAATATTAGCATTTGTATCATTCATATGTATAATGTTTAGAAAGTGTAAATAGGATAACTGGTATTATTAAAAAACTGGATCATTAGATGACGCAATTCAAGAGTTTTCATTGCCTTAGTGATTGCGGTATAAGAACCATTTTACCATGCTCTACAAATACGATAAGCTTACATGTAATTTTGTGGGGAAGTTTTTATATTTTTATTATTTATGGAAGTTTGAAGAACAAGTAATGCTATAGGAAGATGACTAAATAATGACTGTTTCCACTGCTTTTTCAAGTTCTCCCAAGATCTAATGAATGTTTCTACTTAACAATAATAATTCTTTGATTATCAGCTGGAGATTTCCATCAAATGTTAATTGAGGATCATGCATAGAAATCAAAAGAGAATAATCTGAAGCCAACTCACAGACACTTTGAAAATGCAAAGAGGTGGCTGCCATTTCAGTCAACAACCGAACACTGTTAGGCTACTCAGAATAAATGGTGGGTAGCATGTCCAATGAAAGGACAGTATTGGCAATGGAATGCTTGTACATTTATACTAAAACTCAATAGAAACATGGAATCATTTGTCTTGGATAACACCCTGAAGGAAGGATAAAAAAATCACTTGCATGTTTTAACAATTATTATCAAAACGTTAAATATATATCCCCCACTGCTCGAGTTAGTTTTGTGTTAAACAGAGTCACTGAACAAGAAAAAAGGCTTTTAGCAAGCACTTTCCAATGAGCCATATTTTATAGCGAAAATACAGTCCCTCTCTTCTCTAGAGAATTATAGTAGGAACAATATCAAACTTTTTAAAATAAGCATTCGGTCTGGTATCAACTTTTCATGACACAAGTTTTCAACTTGAAATATGTAACCTTATCTACGTAACGATATGACATAGACTTTAAGACTTAACCAACAAAACGATAAATTAAAACAAGGCATCCATAATCAACCTGAACGATGACATACACACTCCATACTACGCTAGACCTGTAGAATGGAATGAACGAAATATTTCCCGGACAATTTCTCACTGTTCAGCACATTGGATGATTTTTGCCAAACCTTGATCGATTTATTCCTCGTAAACAAGCCCCAGAAGACGCGAACTGGGAAATAAAAACCTCACAACCCTCAGCTTTTACCAAAGCCGGCCGGTTTAGTTCGCCTGGTTAACGTTCTGCTTCGTCACTGGATTTTATGTAGTTACCTAAATGCTACATTCAGGTGTAAAATAACATTAGAATTAGTTAAGGATACCAACACCAGGGCTTTGTCGCCTTCTTCTTTTTGCGGCCCATTTCACGAAAAGAAGTCTGGAAAGCTGGTCTAAAAAAAACTACAAAATCACCCCCAACAAAACGAACAACGTGCTCTATCTCGGACTTCAATGGCCGTCATACGCAAAGTCCCGGATATCAGGCAGCAAGGAACGCTGGGACAGTGCCCACCTTTGGCGGTAAAAACAAAGAGTGGAGTAAATTTCGTTCAAGTCCTACAGCAATTTTGGGCAAAAGTAGGAAACCGATGGACGATCCAACATTTAAATCGGTAAGTTAAATCGCTTAGCGTTTATCTTAAACTTTTTTATATGCTGTTAACTGAAAGAGCACGAGTAAATTGTCCTTTCTGGCTAACCTTACTCATTCCACTTACCTGTGCCTTCCTGTCTCATTATTTGTGATTTGTTTTGACTTACTCAATGTGAATAGCTAAGCTTAACTTATTTTTATTTGAATGAATGTGGATAATGGCTGTGTTCTTCTTCTCACAGGAAACAGTAAACAAGTTGTTGCAGCAGTTTTTTCGTGACAAACAAAAAACAAAATGTGAGTTTTTAAAGTACTGGCTGTGCAAAATCTCTTGCATGAAATCCATGCACGTAAAAGGTCTTGTACAAGGTTACCAGTCGTTTCGCCCAATAGCCGGTTTGCCACATGTCAGTTTGCCCGGACTAACAGTCTGTTCACCTAGACTGAAAGTTCAAAGACAGAATCTATTTGTCGTAAAAGATGCTATTATTGCTAACAGAGCTACATGTAAACAGACAACATTGTGGGCATAATGTAACACAGACAAAAAAAACCAGACCTGTTTATTTCTCGTTCTTTAATCCACATTGACCATGGAGCTAACAGTCTGGGCGAACCGAGCGTCAGTCCAGGTGAACTAGCATCCGGTAAACTGGCTTTTGGGCAAAATGAATGCAAATCGTGCACAATGGACCTCATTTTGAGAGAGGGTTAATTAGAAATGAAATATGTATTACACTGCATACTGTAACTGGAAATAATTTGTACAGTTGCATATTGTCCTCCAGTGCACACCACCCTATACTAAGTAAATGTCATTTTTTCAAACACTGTCAGAGGCAAACACCGTCAAATGGCCATTTCCAGCTTGCTTTCTGCGGTAATGATGAACAATAGCTCCCATTTTCAGCTATCGGTAACCTGTGTGCCAACTTTCACCTGACACATTACTGAGATTTACATTATATTTTACCAGATATATTCTAGGCCTGGGGCACACCCTTGTAACAGTAGCAGGATGATTACTCAAAATTATGAAATCCCCAAATCATTTAAGGTATCAGAATGTAAGCATGACCTTAATTCATTTTCATTGCTTCAGTATTAAGAACCAAAACAGAAAGTAGTTCCTATGGATGCAGCTGAGGAAAAAAAAAAGTAACCAGGTTCATAACAAGCTCAATCATTGTTCTGCCCTGTCTGCTCTGCACACCTTGAATATTATCCCAAGTCTTTTGTTTTGTTTTTTTTTTTGGGTAGATAAATTTCTAATCATGAAATTTCCCTATTGGTAACTTGTGGAAAAAAGCTGCATACGAACAAAAATTGGCAGCTGATTTCATGAGCCAAGTCTATTCGTTGTACATTTACTCTGGCTAAACCAATGGCTTGGCTTATTGCAATCATATTTTGGTACTTTATTATATTATATTAAAAGTTCAGAAGAAGGCAGCTTTTTTGTTGGAGTAGGTGGCTGATTGTGCCATCTTTTTCTAAAGAATCAGTTGAATTACCCAGCAGCATAGCACGCTGAGATCATCAAGTCTTTGATAATTTTTGCTGGCAGCCAGATTCCTTTAACAATCCTGTATTAAGATAGCCCACTGAGTTAAGTGTAAGATATACTCACTCGTCTGATTATTTGGATCATGTGTACTTAAGGCACCTCTGGTCAAGTGTCAATAATTGATACCTTTGATTGACCTTTGATCGACAGCATGTCTCAACACTCGATGACCATCATGATTGATACTCAGTCGACACTCAATCAACATCTCAATCAACACTTGATTGACAGTCGGTCGATAGTCAGTCGACACTCAATCCACATCTCAATTAACACTTGATCCACACTCAGTCAATAGTTAGCCGAGTGACAACCAACTCATATGTATCAATCGACACTCAATGGCATTAATATGCAAAAATTAGTCAACTCTTGACCAAGATGTTGATGGGGTGTTGACTGAGTATCAACCAGTGTGTCTATAGTCAATCAAGGGTCTAGTGAGGGTATCGATCGACACTCAACTGTAGATGCCTTTAGTACACATGATCTGAATTTTTTTTCCCAAATTTTCTTTGCCCCACCCAAAGTAATAAACATGGTTATAGTATTTATGTTGTTCTGACATCTTTCGTTGTACTTTACAGGCACGGGAGATGCACTAAAACTCATGGCAGAACTTTTGAGAATATTTATTGCAGGTACATGTAAACTGCAAATAATCTGTACATTTAATTGATAAAAACTGCCTTTATTGTGTATTAAGTGAAACAGCTAAAACTATAATGTGACACCAACTAGATGAGATGGTTGCCATCAGCAGTTATTTCCCTCTGGATGGCTCAGTAAGATCTAAGCAGTTTGCATTTCGCCAAGTGATCAAAATTGCTAGAGCTTATCCCTATTTCTGTTACATTAAGTGACTAGGAGTATTTCTACTCTCCCCTCGATGACATGCTAATCCATCACAGCATTACCCCCAGAATTAGATTTGCCGTACCCATTTATACATCTGTGTGGAGAGAGGCACCGTGACTGAGAGTATAACGTCTTGCCCAAGATCATAATGCGATGACTCCTGCAAGCATTTAAACATGGATTGCTTCATTGAATGTCCAGTGAGCTCACGGTTAGGACACTGTGTCTCTGAAGACGAGATTGATCACTCTGTCTCTGTAAAGAGACCTAGAAATTAAAGCTCTGGCTGCTGAGATTGTTTTTGCCTCACCAAATTTAAACAAGGCCCTTCCTAAACTAAAACTAGCCAATGCATGGCCCTTCTCTTATAGAGAGTATGAACAGAGCAATGATTCTACATGTGTGAAGAAACAGATTGAGGGGGGTCAATACACCAGGCTTCACTCTGATAAAAGGCTTCCTGATCCAGGGTCGAACACTCTCCATGTTGGTAACCATAATGTCAATATACCTTCTATATGTACAAATCTAAGCAATAAATAAAATAGTTACATTAAGAGCACTAATTACTTTGTTTTTGCTTCAGAGGGGGCAGCAAGAGCAGCACAACAAGCTAAGGTAGTTTTGGTTTATGTCTCATGCAGAGGGTATAAGATACTTTTCACATATTTATTTCCAGTTCCCATCTACAGGCCATCTTCAGATTTTTAAGCCACTAACTCTAAAACACCTCTGGAACTTGAGGTCATGCCAAATTGTATAGTATTAATATTTAAGCCCCAAATGCCCTGTTTCTAATTCTCCCAAATGGAATTGCTTTTGTTTCATTAAGCAGAGCAGTTTTTGCTTGAGTTTTGAAAATCATTCACATTTGATTTGGTTTTGCATTACTGCACAAAGGAATTAAAACACTTGTGCCACTTTGACATCCAATCAGAAGTACAGTAAAACCAATTTTACCAATCGTGACTGCCTCAGTCACATTTAACGTTTTCCCACGTTTGGCCTCCGCTACACGTATTTGCTTCAAGTTTTGTTTGGTTCACTGTATTATCTGTGTCCTTTGTGATTAGTCAGAGTGATAACTTTGGTTTTGGTTTTGATTTATTGAAAAGCTCTCTATGTGCTAGGTGACAGTATTTGAACATACATCAAATGAAAATTAATGAATTGAATCTCTCTGGCAATCACCCTCTTAATTCTTGTGACATACATGTAGATGAATATCATCCATGACTAATAATTAAAGGAAATGTAAACTAAACAACCATAGCGTTCTTTCAGATCAGAGACAGGTCTCAAATCAAAAACTTGACATAGTCGGCTATGTCACCCGACAAGTTAATAGGAAAATGTTGATGGACGTCACATTTGAAGTATATACTTTGCACCCGTAGGTTGAATCATCACCAACAGTAGAAACAGATCATTTGGAAAAGATTTTGCCGCAGTTGGTAAGGAATTGATTGAATGAACAAAGCAAAGTATAGAGAAGAGTGGTTTCATCACTAACAGTTAGTGTCTTGATTATTAGATAATAATTTGTAAGAAATGATGGAAAACTCCCAAGGGGGGGGGATTCTAATATAAAGAGGACAGGGATGCTCGTTGCAAATTTTGAAAACAACACCATAAGAGGTGCCAAGATCCTGTTTTGTGGGCATGCCTTAGAATTTCTTTCACCCCTTTAGGAGGTACCAATTCTAAACACTTTAACTGACACTGACGTTTTCCAGGTCGGCTCAAAATCCTAAAAGGTACAGCAAAAGCTCCTGCTGTGGACCTCTTTAGGTTGAACACCCTAGGAGACACCAAACCTTTTTCTCCCTAAAAGGTACGACAAGCACCCCTGACGACGAGCACCCCCGTCTTTTTTAGAGCCCAGAGTTCCCCCCCCCCCCTTGGGGAAACCCCTGGACTCTAAAGATACTAAAAATATTTTCACATGATAATGACTGTTTGTGATGGCTGACGGTTCATCCATCTGGGTTTCCTGGGTAAACAATTCAAAAATGGTTGTGAAAATCACTATCAATGTTGCTTAGATTTGTACAAGCAACAGGGCACTAATTGTATGACATAATTTAGCCACTGTAATGAGATAAATCTAATTAGATGAATTGTATTCTTGCCATCTCTCTGGCCCTCCTCTCAAATTCCTAGTGCAAATTTGAGCTTTTCCCAAAAATTCTAGAGAAAATACTGTAGTATTTAACATTGTCCTGATGCTGGGGTTTCAGACCCAGGCAAATTGACCAGGTGTGGAGACGATCCTGCCCGCCTGGTTTGACCATCTAGAGAGAAGGTCTTTTTATAAAGTAGTTCAGTTCAAAAAGTGTTGCCTGTCTGTGAAAATGTATTGCCTTCCTGTTTAAAACATTAATGAAACCCTTGGTGGAACATGTACAAATTGCTGAATTGTCTATATTATATCTTGGGTTAAACTAATTTTAATGATTAGTTTCGAAACACATTTTAGGATAAAAGCTAGAGATAAAAAACAATGTTTCGATGTCTAGTGAATAAAATTTTGCATATAATATGAGTAAAATTAAGACATGAGAATTTGAAAAGTGATATTAATATTATGTAAGCAAACACTAAGCATTACAAAACGTAAGCGATAAAAACTAAAATACCAAATACTAGATAACTAGTCTAATTTTATTAGACTTGGCTTATCAAAAACTGTTTTTGATTGTGTTTTCTTTACTTTAACAGCTTCTGGATTTTTAACATTTGAAAGACCTGCACAAAATTTCTAGAGGTGGAACACTAATTTCTACATTGATCAACGACAAAGGAAAGAGATGTACATTTACTGCAAAGTCAAATCTTATTATCAGGTTGAAGAACATGGAAATATCTCAAAGGTGTTAAAGCCCTCTAAAAAAATTCCTTTTAAAACAGGGATTTTATCAAGTACTTTATTACAAGTATAATTAACTTGATACTAGTTCCTCGTAGCTCATCATAGTTTGTAAAAATGTCTGAAAGTGGTCCCTTAGAACTAGCTAGTGCAAATTAGTAAGTAAAGAAATAGTCCACTGAACAAGAACAAGTGTTGTATAAGGATGAATCGTATGGGGATCTAGTAGAAAGAAGGTACCATTCTAGCCAGGGTACCTTTATCTAGATTCATTCATTCATTCTAGTGGTCTCATAGCTCCTGAGCTGAGGAGGTGTTGTAACCTCCTCTTTATCATATCTGCACTGAGGTAAGAGAATGCAAATAAGCTATTCTCATGCTTAAAACCCTCTTCATGAATTTTCAATTACATGTATAAACGTTCATTGTTATATAGTCAAACTCATCAAACTGTGAACAACTAATATGCCTGGAATGTTTATCCTGTTTTTAATACGATTATTGGTAATGAGATTATTGATATCTCATTAATTGAAATCTTCCAGATCATGGAAACCACTGAAAATGGATGAGTTTCCATCGGTCACAAAACTCCAAAATTAATTTAGATTTTGGTTTGCACTTGTCTCAAGATACAACCTCTTTTATATATTACTGAAAGTCTAATTAATTGCAGCTACATGTATACCTTCATATGAAGGGCCACATCCATTCCTAGGGGGGGGGGG